AGATTTGAGGAAGGTATTCGACAGGGTTGCTTCATTTGGATAGTGAAACATCCAGTTCTCCGTGATGAGAGGATTGCCTCCCTACTATGGAAAGAGATTAATGATAACATTGTTGATATTGTTGAACAAAAGGATAGGGACTCAGGTGAATGCTTTTTGTATTTAGCTTCCCTATCTGAGAGTTACTTTCTATTCTCAAAGTCATTAGAAGTTGTTGTAAGACAGGGTGACACATCAACTGATCTATATGACTGTGTGGTAGCCTGTGTTACACATGGCAAACTGAAACACCTGGAACACCTTGTAAAAGTCATGAGTCGACATGGAGGATTCGATGTTGAATTTTCCATAGACGGGGAAACCCTTCTGATCATGGCTGCCAAGTCAGGACAGTCAGAGGTGTTCAACTTCCTCACCCAGAAGGGTGCTGATATTTCAGTGACGGACAGGACAGGAAACACCTGTTTACATTATGTCTGTGAATCAGGAAGTATGGCGTTGACCACAAAGGTGGTTGAAATGCGTCCTGTTTTACTAAATGCCAAGAGTTTTGCGGGTTTAACACCTGCAATGCTTTGTGCCAAAGCAGGTCACCTTTTCATCCTGAAGTTCCTGAAACAAAAAGGAGCCGATTTAGCTCTTACCGACGATAAATTGTCAGATTGTTTGCACTTGGCGAGTGAAAATGGCAATCTGTCAACTGTGAGGTTTTTGATTTCGCTGAAAATGTTTAATGTGAACAAGAAGGAAACATGTTTTATGCAAACATCAGCTATGAAGGCAGCAGAAGGAGGACACTATGATGTTTATCTTCTCCTTGTATCTGAGGGTGTGGATATGACTCTTACTGATAAATACAACAGAGACTGTCTGATGTTGGCATGTGAGGGAGGAAACGTATCTATTGTGAAGCATGTCTTGTCAATGAAAACATGCGACATCAACAGGCGGGGAGGAGTGTGAAACAAACACCAGTTATGATGGCATTGAAAGGAGGACACTATGATGTTTATCATCTCCTTGTATCTGAGGGTGCAGATCTGACCCCTACTGGTGTATACAACAGAGACTGTCTGATGTTGGCATGTGAGGGAGGAAACATATCTATAGTGAAACATGTCTTGTCAATGAAAACATGGGACATCAACAGGCGGGGAGGATATTTTAGACTAAGACCAGTTATGATGGCATTGGGAAGAGGACACTTTGATGTTTGTGATCTCCTTGTATCTGAGGGTGCAGATCTGACCCTTACCGATGCATACAACAGAGACTTTCTGATGTTGGCATGTGTGGGAGGAAACATATCTTTTGTGAAACATGTCTTGTCAATGAAAACATGGGACATCAACAGGCGGGGAGGATATTTTAGACAAACACCAGTTATGATGGCATTGGGAAGAGGACACTTTGATGTTTGTGATCTCCTTGTATCTGAGGGTGCAGATCTGACCCTTACTGATAAATACAACAGAGACTGTCTGATGTTGGCATGTGTTGGAGGAAACGTATCTTTAGTGAAACATGTCTTGTCAATGAAAACATGCGACATCAACAGGCGGGGAGGAAGATTGAAACAATCACCAGTTATGATGGCATTGGAAGGAGGACACTATGATGTTTATCATCTCCTTGTATCTGAGGGTGCAGATCTGACCCTCACTGATGATGACAACAGAGACTGTCTGATGTTGGTATGTGGGGGAGGAAGCATATCTATAGTGAAACATGTCTTGTCAGTGAAAAAATGGGACATCAACAGGCGGGGAGGAAGATTGAAACAATCACCAGTTATGATGGCATTGGAAGGAGGACACTATGATGTTTATCATCTCCTTGTATCTGAGGGTGCAGATCTGACCCTCACTGATGATGACAACAGAGACTGTCTGAGGTTGGCATGTGTTGGAGGAAACGTATCTATAGTGAAACATGTCTTGTCAATGAAAACTTGCGACATCAACAGGCGGGAAGGAGAGTTGAAACAAACACCAGTTATGACGGCATTGGAAAGAGGACACTATGATGTTTATCATCTTCTTGTCTCTGAGGGTGCAGATCTGACCCTTACTGACAAATACAACAGAGACTTTCTGATGTTGGTATGTGAGGGAGGTTACATATCTATAGTGAAAGATGTCTTGTCAATGAAAAAATGTGACATCAACAGGCGGGGAGGAAAGTTGAAACAAACACCAGTTATGATGGCATTGGAAAGAGGACACTATGATGTTTATCATCTTCTTGTGTCTGAGGGTGCAGATCTGACCCTTACTGATAAATACAACAGAGACTGTTTGATGTTGGTATGTGAGGGAGGTAACATATCTAAAGTGAAACATGTCTTGTCAATGAAAAAATGGGACATCAACAGGCGGGAAGGAGAGTTGAAACAATCACCAGTTATGATGGCATTGAAAGGAGGACACTGTGATGTTTATCATCTCCTTGTATCTGAGGGTGCAGATCTGACCCTTACTGATGCATACAACAGAGACTGTCTGATGTTGGCATGTGTGGGAGGAAACATATCTATAGTTAAACATGTCTTGTCAATGAAAACATGGGACATCAACAGGCGGGGAGGATATTTTAGACAAACACCAGTTATGATGGCATTGGGAAGAGGACACTTTGATGTTTGTGATTTCCTTGTATCTGAGGGTTCTGATCTGACCCTTACTGATAAATACAACAGAGACTGTCTGATGTTGGCATGTGTGGGAGGAAACATATCTATGGTGAAACATGTCTTGTCAATGAAAACATGGGACATCAACAGGCGGGGAGGATATTTTAGACAAACACCAGTTATGATGGCATTGGGAAGAGGACACTTTGATGTTTGTGATCTCCTTGTGTCTGAGGGTGCAGATATGACACCGAAGACGACAACACAGACTTAATGTAGTATATTGTTACCTATATTTAAGTAACTCGACACCGAACTCACGAGGGCTGCATGCATCTGGCACCCTTCCTCCACCTATGTCTGAGCAAGGTCTGTTCATGTGAGTGGAGGCCGGACAAACGGGACGATGTCCCTGGTTGATTTAGTGTTGAGAATTCACACTGGCATCACCACAGATTCCTTACCACACCATGACAATCGACCTCCAGATCACAACAAACATGCCTGCCATTTCCCTCATCGGTGGTGTGCTCTGATAATCATATCATCGTTGGCATCGACCTTTTTATCACAACAGAACAGTCTTTGCCAGTTGCTGTTCTGTCAGTAACAAATTGTGTGTGCAAATCTCAGTCTCTGATGTCAAGGTTGGTGCCTTAGGGCTACTCCATGGAATGATATATACGCCTGAATACCATGCTCAATCAGAGACACTGTCCTGCTGACTTGACGATCAACGATAGTTGCAGCCGATGACGTCACCACAAAATAATATTTCCTGAGGTGCAAAACCCGAAGGTAGCAGTTGTCGTTTTGCCTGGTCACGGGTGATCTCCTGCATCTAGGTCTTTCCCTGGCACTGCCTCTTTGGTTGAAACGAGCCATCAATCTGGTGATTGTGATGTGTGCGCAGGCTAAGGTTGTTGCTACATCTCTTTGGGTAGCCCCTGTCTGCATCACACCGATGGCCCTTTCTCTCTGCTCAGGTGATACTCTTGGCATAAGTGTTGCTTTGTGTAAATTCTGATCGAATTGGCTTTTATACCCTTTGGAGATCATTTTGCACCTGTATTGCCTTTTGATTATTTAAAGTCAATTCTTATATATTTGAGTTTTCAAAAACGGCCATGTTGCTTAAGACCTGTGAAGATCTTCAGCAACCCATGCTTGCTTTAAAAGGCGACTGTGCTTGTCGTATGAGGCGTCTAACGGGATCGGGTGGTCAGGCTCGCTGACTTGGTTGATGCATGTCATCGATCCCAATTGCATGGATTGATGGTCATGATGTAAATCACTGGATTGTATGGTCCAGACTCGATTATTTACAGACCGCTGTCATATAGCTGGAATCCTGCTGAGTGCGGCGTAAAACAACAAACACACACTCACATGTTGGTTGAAGCATAATCTAAGTACACTAGTATTGTAGTTGTGTATACGGCAGTAAGGTGTTGTAGTGGTGTATTATAACCAGGGTATTTTGGAAAAAGGGGTTTTTAATATTTACTTAAAATGTAGTTTACTAAATGAAGCTTTTGGGTAAAATATGGATGTATATGAGAGAAGTGACCGTACAGGGTCAGGGCAACACTCCTGGGGCAAGTGATTATTGGTTTTGCTTCTCTTAAGTGATAGAGTTTACCTTTCATTAGTACAATGAATTAGTAGAATTGGTCTTGCAATAAAAATGTCAGACGGGAGATAGATGGATGGAACAAAATTGTTAGTCTTGTGGTGATCAAATATTTATGAGTATTACTGCTTGATTAGAATGTCAAAATAACATGATTAAGTATGTTTTCGGTGCCTTCCAGTCTGGCAGAGAACTTGAGGGTATTTGATTATATGAGTATGTCCAAGTTGACCAATGACTTAAAGAGGTAATCAAATTGGTTAGACCGAAGGGCTTTATGGTAAAACTAATTACTATGGAAATTGGGGAATGACCATTATGACTCATTTCTCATGATGTCAAATGTGATTTTGGAGGGAGGAGCTAAAATTATCATCGATAGTATTTTGTTAGTTGTCCAAGAGTGGTGCGGGGAGTCGGGAGCATACAGCTGAATAGAAAGGTTCACTGTGGTTTTGGGACCCCGAGTCAGAAAAGAAGTAGAGTTAACGTTCATCAGAAAAAACCATCAGGCTCTTCAACCATCATCTAGGTATGTGTTGTATTTATATCAGGCAACAACAAGAACTAATCTGAGGACCATGTGTGTGTATTTATGATTAACTCTATCATAAATAAAAAGAGACTGGAGCAAACCATCTGACTTGTGATTTTGAGAGAGCTACATCATCCCTAGAACCAAGGAGTAGTTGATTAATACCAAGTGACCATAGGTAGAAGGGTAAAGTACCCGGAACCTAAGGTTACATATGGCGGAGTTGCTCTAAGATCACCGTACCATGCTCATCACAAGTTTGAACGGTTTGCACCTGCAGCTGAGTTGATGTACACTTGATGGTTGTTTGCCTGACACGAGCCGATGCTATTTGCCATTCACGGTAGGTGATGTCCTGTAAAGCGTGAATTGATTGTGAGGGATGTGTTTTGCCCTTGTATTGGTGAACTATGCTCACCAGCGGGACTATGGTTCACTGTTTGAAAGCCTTGGGGTGGTCAGTTTCCCATGAAGAGACTGTGTTATTGATTTCTTTGGTAGTACGGCTACTACCATAACAGTGATATTGATTTTCTAGTGTGGGACAGTCATACTGATGGAGGACCCTTGCTGCACACTGGTGTGCATAGGAACTTTCTGCGGTATTATAAGACTGTTTTTATCTCTCATCACCAACAATGAGCATGAGACGTCTTGAAATTATGATGTTGAATTTGGACATATTGTCAGGGAAGAACCAAAGTGACTCAAAATGTTTCATGACAATGAAAATTGTTCTGCCTCTGATATTACAGAGACAAATGACAGTTTATTTTCAAGAGGACTTGGGAATAAGGACAAATTAGGGAACAATTTTGCAGCTTTAGCAAGGGCTTTTTCCCTAAGTCAGTTTTCTCTTGAGAAATTCAATGGAAGTGATCCAGAAATTGCAAGTTCATGGTTAAGCAGATATGAGAAATTTAATTCTTTACATAATTATTCAGAAGAAAGGACAAAGACAGCATTTAGTTTATGGTTAGACAAAAATGCTTTAAAGTGGCATGAAGCTCAAGACTTTAGTGACAATTCCTGGAATGAGGTGAAGACAGCTTTCCTTGCAAGGTACAAACTAAGTTCAGCAAAAAGATATGAAAGACTAGACAAGCTTTATAATAGGAAACAGAAACAGTCTGAGGATTTTGAGGACTTTCTTCAAGAATTGCAATATGAGGCAAAACATCTTGATAGAGTGGACGACAACTTTATCATGGATGCCATCATTAGGAATTCTCAACCTCACATTAAACAGTTCATTTTGACAAGATTGCATGAGACAAAGGATCAAGTCCTGGAAAGTGCGAGAATAGCAGATGCTGCATTTGGACTGGCCACATCAGAGAATGACAGACTTGTGTCTGTTATAGAGGAGCTCGTTGGACAAGTATCCTTATTGACCAGTGCAGAAAATACTCGAACAGGAGGGAACTTTTCATATGAGCATCAGGATGACTCTATGTACAGAAAACAGTACATTAAAACTGGGACTGAGTGTACTGAGGACCAACAACCAGTGAAGAACGTGACACAAACATTCCATCAACATCACAGAAGTGGTTGTGCATCAACACATGTTGATATCAGGGACATGAGTGACAATGATGTGCCCTGTGGACAAAACTGGAGCCCTGCTCCAAGGAATATGAGCAATGAGGAGCATAGAGTGTCACAACCACAATTATGGAACATTTGTGGACAATGAGGTAGGACACATTTTAGTATGTCTGAGAGTCTTGTGAGATCTATGCAATGTTTTCAATGCTGTAGGATAGGGCACCTAAGCAGATTCTACTTTTCTAATTAAGCCAAACATATGCAAGGGTTAACAGGGGCAGTGCTACATGTGGATTTGAGCCTGCCGCCAATATAGCAAATATTGATTTTGATAATGTTGGTAACATCATAGGCCACTCTTTTACAATGAGAAATAATACAGAACCAGATCATAGAAATGATAAGTGATTTGAGCGAGGTTGTTGTTTTGACTTGTAGTGTGGGCTTATCTCACAGCAGTATTAGGGTAAAGATATCTGGAAAGACTTACAGTGCCCTATGGGACTCAGGTGAAACTTTGAGCTGTATGAATTCAAATGTATTCTCATCTATTGGAGGTGAGAGTAGATTTCCTATAACAAAATGAGGTGTAAGGTCATTGGTTGGTGCAGATGGGAAACCATTAGATGTGTTAGGTGTATCTACAATTCCTCTTACAGTTGGTCAGCTATGTGTTGTACAGGTCTTTCAGGTCTTTTTGCCTTATCAATTGATGTGTTGTTAGGCTTAGATTTCTTGAGAAGCCAGAGGCTAGCATTGATGTTAGCCATAATAGGTTGACTTTGTAGGATGGACTTACAGAGACAAATTTCATTGCCTATTCAGATTAATACCAACCTTGTTACATGTATATGTGATGTGGTACCACCACCACACATGAAACTTTGTTGCCGGTGTACATTAAGTTAGGCGTTGTTGAGCCGATTGAGTCTATTGCAGAATGGTTACATGTGTGAGGTGCTAGATATCTCACTTCATCTGTCAATCAAGTACCATTGTTTAGGTTGATGAACCCTGCTAGTTCAGAGATTAAGTTAGCAATAGGTGTCATTGAAGAAGTCGATATTGCCAATGTGTGTGGAGAGTTAGAAGACAGTGACAACACACATACCATGCCTATCACCACAGGTGACAAAGCATTCAACCATGTTGATATTGACAAGACTCATTGATTGACGGGAATATGGATATCCAAATATGAAATGGGAGTTGATAAGTCGTAGAGGAATGAGATACCAAGTCCGGGTGTCTCGAAAAGCGAAGGGGTCCTAAGTGAGTTTCTCAATTCAGAAATTGTGGAGGTTTTCCATGTCAGAAGAACAATGACAGGGAAAGTGAAGAAAGAAAACAACAAAAAGTAAACAATAGAACTGCACGTAAGGAAGTGTGACAATCATATAGGTATATGATATACGGAGGATATGTAGATCCAAGGTTATGATAACAAGTTGGTTTTAGTCCCAAGTTATAGTGTCATGTGTAAATGGGTACCCAGATAGGAAATCAAGGATGATAATGAAAAGTCGTAGAGGTAACATGCCTACGCAGATATGAGATGATGAACAACGTCGTAGAGGTAACATGCCTACGTAGATATGAAAAGATAGTAAGTCGTAGAGGTCACATGCCTACGCTGTCAAGCCGTGGAGGAGACATGCCCACGTAGTAATAATGTCGACAGGGACGTAGAGGAGACATGCCTACGTTATTTGAATATAAACACATAGATGAGGAAATGCCTATGCTGTTTCAAAGCTTGAAAGATCAAGTCTAGAGATGCCTGACAGTCTCTAGTGGTGAGGTAGATATGTTTCTACCTCAAGTTGCTGAGTATGTTGAGGACAGTCGAAAGACTAACGATGAATTCACTTGGGACGAAGGACAGAGGGTCGATTTGTCTCGTAGCCTGGGTGAAGACCTATAAATCGGTCGTGGGATGTAGATGATTGGCCAATCATATTTGTACAGAAGAGTTTTGCCTAGTCAGAAGGCTGTTGTATACCTCCTGTTGAGGAGAGGAAATGTTTGAAGAGAGTACAGATGGAATATTAAAGAGTTTTTTTTTTTTTCATGAGTTATGATGCTGACACAGATAAAGACACAACAATAGGAGGGAAAAGGGACATACGGTTATATATATCTGCGATTGAAGATGTAAGAAATCAGAGGTTGTTTAAAAACAAGGCCGTTTTAACTTCAAAATATTCAACTGACCCACAAGTATAACATATTATTGATACATGAACTGGAACTGTATGAACATAAGCGCTGTGTTCTGCGGTTTACTTAATGTTGGTAGACATTATTTATGAGAGAGTAATATGTTGTATGGTACATTGGTGACGATCAATAGGGATTGTTGTTTATTGTTTTTCACTTAGGGAAGATATGGCTTCACAGGGATAACAGAGTGGGAATTGAGATCAGATCTAAAATCTGAGAGATTACTTGGATATTTGCGTTCTAAAGGACCCTTAGGCTTCGCACTTAAAGCTATGATGACACTACTCATGATGTGGAACCCATTGACGACATGCATTCCGGATATCTATCTCTGGGGTAATACCTTCAGATATATGGGACGACTTAACATACAAACAGACATGGTATCATACGTTTGCTATTGAATTGCCCAAGATCTCTAACTATCCGATTATGCTTAGAGAGATGTGAGGGAATATTAGTCTTCAGGCGAATCATACGTCCTGTGATGAGAATATGAGGGCTATATTGAATTTTACTTATCGCATACATGACGACACTTTCGAAGACATGTTGGAAGGGGTTACTTTGATCAGGAACATTATTCTTTGAGGTCAAATTGTTGGTTCTCAGACTCGCTCCAAGAGAGCATTGCTACCTTTTATTGGTGAATTCTCAAATAATTTATTTGGTACCGCCGTGACAGTGGCGTGAACATAATACGACAACATATCAATATCTTATCAAATAGAATGAGAGCGGAAGAAGCAGCTTTTAACGTGTCACAAGATTACATGGGAACGTACAATATCCCATAGTTGTTTATGAATTGTGTAGACCTTCTACTCCACTACCTTGCACCATTGCTACTCAAACAGTTGCTGTTAGGGATGTAAAGTTAATCTATCCATTGGTTCCGCAGAGACCAGAGAACATTGCAATGTCACAGTTTTAGAAATTTAAGTAATCTCAGACATGTTAGTGTCCTCTTGTATAAATGTTGATGTTATACTGTATTCAAGATGTTACTTTTACTACATGATTTATGTTTTTGTGCTGACCTATATGCATTTATTTATAATATATATGAATGGGTACACCTACCATATGAGAAAAACATATGTTGAATTTCATGAGAGAAAATCTATCCGTTATATGTTACCAGGATGTTGTATATGGTGCATTGCATTGCATCTCAGGAGTTGATAGATTGCATGTGCGATCACTGCCCAATGAGACATTTGACAATATTCTATATAGGTGCATGTCCAGTGACTTTATGATAAGTTGATGTTGTTTTGATATTCAAAAAAACCCCAAACTATTGTGATTGTTGAGTCAGGTGAGGTGTTGTTTGTTTACTGTGTATAGATGCTGAAGCTAAATTTCAACATTTACTTGAGATATTATAAGAACAAACTGTTGTAATCTTCAGTTAAAGAGGACTTCATGGAGTGTAATACATGAATTTACAGTAATTTCCTAATTGATTTACAAATGACTGAATCTTTGGACAATTAACCCTTTTTGGACATCAGAGATTGGACTGTCAAAGATTTCACTGTCATACATGTAGGAATGAGCAACCTCATTCTATAAGATGATGGAGAGAATCATTTCTTAATGAACTTCGAGGACATTTTTGATCATTTGATATGGAGAACTTTTCCCATTGGATCAAGACCATAAGAGTAAGAGTAAGTTGAATATGTTCTAGAACATACGGACATGGAACATGTTGATGATACAGAATAGTAAGACTATATATTGGATACGTAGAACTCTGAAACTGATCATCAGTTGGTTATTGGTGTTGTGATACTATTGTGATTTTTGCCTGAAGGAAAATGCTCATATGTCTTTAAATATAAGATCGAAATGTTAAGAAAATGTTTTTATTACCAATCTGCATCTACTGAAAAAGTGTAAATTTTACAAAGAAGAATTGTTTGATTATGCCTTTATAAGTCTTGGCATGTTATTATTCTCAGATAGGTACAACCCAAGACAGATCCTATCTGAGACATTATCTTGTAAAAATTTAATTGTATTGATTTTTCTGGTCCTCAGATGCATACACACACAAGTTGTTACATATTGATATTGTACTATTGTATTTACATTTCATATTCTATTATCATTGGTCAATCGCATGGGACATGCTCTACAACGGGAAGGGCATGTATAACCAGGGTATTTTGGAAAAAGGGGTTTTTAATATTTACTTAAAATGTAGTTTACTAAATGAAGCTTTTGGGTAAAATATGGATGTATATGAGAGAAGTGACCGTACAGGGTCAGGGCAACACTCCTGGGGCAAGTGATTATTGGTTTTGCTTCTCTTAAGTGATAGAGTTTACCTTTCATTAGTACAATGAATTAGTAGAATTGGTCTTGCAATAAAAATGTCAGACGGGAGATAGATGGATGGAACAAAATTGTTAGTCTTGTGGTGATCAAATATTTATGAGTATTACTGCTTGATTAGAATGTCAAAATAACATGATTAAGTATGTTTTCGGTGCCTTCCAGTCTGGCAGAGAACTTGAGGGTATTTGATTATATGAGTATGTCCAAGTTGACCAATGACTTAAAGAGGTAATCAAATTGGTTAGACCGAAGGGCTTTATGGTAAAACTAATTACTATGGAAATTGGGGAATGACCATTATGACTCATTTCTCATGATGTCAAATGTGATTTTGGAGGGAGGAGCTAAAATTATCATCGATAGTATTTTGTTAGTTGTCCAAGAGTGGTGCGGGGAGTCGGGAGCATACAGCTGAATAGAAAGGTTCACTGTGGTTTTGGGACCCCGAGTCAGAAAAGAAGTAGAGTTAACGTTCATCAGAAAAAACCATCAGGCTCTTCAACCATCATCTAGGTATGTGTTGTATTTATATCAGGCAACAACAAGAACTAATCTGAGGACCATGTGTGTGTATTTATGATTAACTCTATCATAAATAAAAAGAGACTGGAGCAAACCATCTGACTTGTGATTTTGAGAGAGCTACATCATCCCTAGAACCAAGGAGTAGTTGATTAATACCAAGTGACCATAGGTAGAAGGGTAAAGTACCCGGAACCTAAGGTTACAGTATACAGCAGTAAGGTGTTGTAGTGGTGTATACAGCAGTAAGGTGTTGTAGTGGTGTATATAGCAGTATGATGTTGTAGTGGTGTATACAGCAGTAAGGTGTTCTAGTGGTGTATACAGCAGTATGATGTTGTGGTGGTGTATACTGCAGTGTGTTGTTGTAGTGGTGTATACAGCAGTTTGGTGTTGTAGTGGTATATATTGCATTCCAACTATATCATAAGCATGTGTTTATGAATTACTATAAGGGTAACGCTATTTTTCAGGGCATTAAATTGCCTCGGTCTTTTCAATTGCTCTCCTTCCCCGGGCAGTTAATGGAAGACCTCGGGCTTCTGCAAATGATAATGCCCTGAAAAATAGCGTTACCGTTATTATCCCCCGCCGCGCGAAAGCGCGAAGCGGGGGATATAGTATTCACGACCGTACGTCCGTACGTCCGTACGTCCGTCCGTACGTCCCACCTGTTTGTTGCCGCGATATCTCAAGAACTAAACACTGGATTGTCTTCATATTTGGAACTATGGTGTATATACAGACTCCGCAGACACCAGTCGGTTTTGGTGACCTTGATCCCATTTTCAAGGTCACAGCAGACAAATCTGCTTTTAGAGTTGGAAAACGGTGTTGCCGCGATATCTCAAGAACTAAACACTGGATTGTCTTCATATTTGGAACTATGGTGTATATACAGACTCCGCAGACACCAGTCGGTTTTGGTGACCTTGATCCCATTTTCAAGGTCACAGCAGACAAATCTGCTTTTAGAGTTGGAAAACGGTGTTGCCGCGATATCTCAAGAACTAAACACTGGATTGTCTTCATATTTGGAACTATGGTGTATATACAGACTCCGCAGACACCAGTCGGTTTTGGTGACCTTGATCCCATTTTAAAGGTCACAGCAGGCAAATCTGCTTTTGGAGTTGGAAAACGGTGTTGCCGCGATATCTCAAGAACTAAACACTGGATTGTCTTCATATTTGGAACTATGGTGTATATACAGACACCGCAGACACCAGTCGGTTTTGGTGACCTTGACCCCATTGTCAAGGTCACAGCAGGCAAATCTGCTTTTGGAGTTAGAAAACGGTGTTGCCGCGATATCTCAAGAACTAATCGCTGGATTGTCTTCATATTTGGAACTATAGTGTATATACAGACACCGCATACACCTGTCAGATTTGGTGACCTATCCCCATTTTCAAGGTCACAGCAGGCAAATCTGTTTTTTGAGTTGGAAAACGGTGTTGCCACAATATCTCAAGAACTAATCACTGGATTGTCTTCATATTTGGTACTATGGTGTACAGGCGGGGGATATTTCGTCACTCTGTGACAAATACTTGTTATAGCTAAAATGGATGGAATTTGTTATCAAATTAAAAGAAACAACAATATCGGTTTTGAAACATGTCCTGCAATCAATATGAATGTCACTGACCCACTTTTACAAATATGGAAACGTCAAAGAACAAACCAGATGACGTCACTATTGAACGTGACGTCATTTACCCCTGTACTATGACATCATCTAACAACGGGCGTGATAATGGCCCATCATCAAGAAATATGAGGGCATTATCAAGTTACAGTGGCCCGGGCGGTTTAATGACAATTCTATCCATTTTAGCTATAATGTTAAATAGTGATAACGCCATATATTGTATATACCATAGCACCATCTCGTTTGATGTACCTGTTATTAATCAGTTGTATATATTCAGATAGGGTGGTGCATCTGGATTACCATATGATGTAGTATTTCTCGTGTAAAGTAGACAACATGCCACATGTTGGATTTTTTTCTACTTCGTCTGTCATGATCTATGATAGTGAATATACTATGATAGTGAATATATCCTCACATGGTTTAGACATTCTTGTAGTGTGGATTCAGGTGTATGGTAAATGTTACCTTGTGTAACTATTGGTGAAGTAGTGTTGATGACCAAATATATGTCTATTTTTATTTGATGTGAATGATGTAATATTGTGTGTTTGTGTTAGGCATTTTATTCATTTCACCTGGTATTACATTGATATGAATTATGTCATGTAAATAGCATTGTATAGTGTTGTAGTGGCGTATATAGCATTGGATAGTGTTGTATTGGTGTATATAGCATTGTGTAGTGTTTTAGTGACATATATATCATTGTGTAGTGTTGTAGTGGTGTATATACAATGTAAAGTGCTGTAGTGGTGTATATAGCATTGTGTTGTGTTGTAGTGGCGTATATATCATTGTATAGTGTTGTAGTGGCGTATATAGCATTGGATAGTGTTGTAGTGGTGTATATAGCATTGTGTAGTGTTTTAGTGGTGTATATATCATTGTGTAGTGTTGTAGTGGTGTATATACAATGTATAGTGCTGTAGTGGTGTATATAGCATTGTATAGTGTTGTTGTGGCATATATAGCATTGTATAGTGTTGTAGTGGTGTATGTAGCATTGTATAGTGTTGTAGTGGCGTATATAGCATTGTATAGTGTTGTTGTGGTGTATATAGCATTGTATGGTGTTGTAGTGGCATATATAGTATTGTATAGTGTTGTAGTGGTGTATATAGCCTTCTTAGTGTTGTAGTGGTGTATATAGCATTGTTTCGTGTTATAGTGGTGTATATAGTATTGTATCGTGTTAAAGTGGTGTATATAGCATTGTTGTGTAAATAGCATTGTATAGTGTTGTATTGGCGTTTGTAGCATTGTATGGAGTTGTAGTGGCGTATATAGCATTGTATAGTGTTGTAGTGGCGTAATTATCATTGTATAGAGTTGTAGTGGTGTCTGTAGCATGGTATAGTATTGTAGTGGTGTACATAGCATTGTATAGTAATGTAGTGGCGTATGTAGCATTGTATAGTGTTGTTATGGTGCATGTAGGATTGTACAGTGTCAAAGTTGAAATGTTATAAACATATATATATTAATACGATGATAATATTTGTTTTGTTGGTTTGAGTGAATGTTTTTTAACGCCAGTCAAAACTGCCAGACAAACCATTGAACAATCCTTCGGTTAATTCACAGTCAACTTAGTGTGGAAGGACAACTTAAAGTGATTTAGGTTTATCAATTTAACCTTCTGTTTATAACCACAGATCCTTATTGGGGCATTTTTTGGCCTGGACTGATAATGACTGCAGCGCTCAACAACATTCCCTCATTTACAATTGTCAGTTCTTAGCAGTTATATATAT